GGTGGTCACCTTGCGTTCCAGTGTTTTTGCGCTCACCACCACCTGCTTCTACACCGGAATGCCGAGTTCCAGTGTGAAATGACAACACTGGAACAAAACACACTTGAACGCATCCGGAATCCGGATAAAATTGACCAATCACAATGGACTTGTTCGAGTCTTTTTCGTTCCAGTGTGGCCAAAAAGTTTCCCACCCCAGGGCAATATAGACCCACTGTTCATCGGCACGGCAGCTCTCCCGCATTGTTTTCGTGGCCGTTCAGCTGAAGACCTTGGTTGCAACTATCATGCCAGTAAGAAAGGCTGGATGACTGGCACGATTTTCAATTCGTACCTGACATCGTTGAACAAACGAATGGTCGAAGAGGACCGCAAGATTCTCCTGCTTGTCGACAATGTACTCTCTGATTCGCTCGATGAAGGCGTCCTCCTAGACAACGTCAAGATTCAAATGTTTCCGAAGAACACGACCTCGCACCTGCAACCCCAAGACCCCGGTATCATCGCGGCCTTCAAGGCGAAGGTCAAGCAGCGCCAATTGCAGAATGCTTTGGATCAAATCGAATTGGTCATGAGAGGACGACAAGAACGATTGTACGAGGTACTTTTGGACAAACCGATGACCTGGGCAAAGGAGGCTTGGAGATTTGTGACCGAGCTCACTGTTGCGAACTGCTGGGTTCGCACCGGCATTGTCGATGGCGAGCTCTCTGCCTTTGGTGAACAGGCGGCTGAACTGCATCTCGCATAGCTCATTGGCCACCATCAATAACTCTGACAATTTGTACTTGTGAAAAATAATATTTTGTGTACATTTATAATTCTTGCCCGTTTAGAAGTCAGAGGGAAATCAGTATATTATTCGAGACACATTTTGTATTCCGGACTCCTCCAAGAATAGATTTGCCTGTCACACGAATATCAATTTGCACAGAAGTCACTTCGCGCGCATGCATTCCTCTTATATCAAATATATACTCTCTAAATTAATACATTATCTATACATTATCAATTTATAGAGGTAACATTTTGTTTCGGAGGTTTGATCGGTTCTGTCGAAGACGTTGCTGGAGATGTCCCTGTTTGGATGATGACACACTTTGTGACCTGTTGACCAACATGGCCATCGAAAACACCATTGATCCCGATGAAGACATCGACTGCTGTGAAGAACCTGAGACTTCTGAACCAAATTAGGTCAACTCAATATATTTCCTGTTCATTTGTATACAATACTTTAAGTTCACTTCCTCTCAATTGTTTCTACCTTTGAAGATTAATTTCACTTTATACTTATTGTTGAAGGTGTTGATTCGGTGATAATCCATATATGAAAGTTTGTACGTCCAGAATAAATTACATAACCACACCCCTTCCCGCCGTCGGATAAATGTAAATTGTTACTGTCCAGAATAATATAATCTACACGGTAGGACATGGATTCTACTGTTGAATGTTGAATGGTTGAGTATTAGCCAATCATCGTTTAGAATAATCGGATTGACCAATGGGGTCATTGCATGATTCGATTTGAGGTGTGATTCGATTCGACGGGGTCTGGAAATTGTACAAATTCAACAATACAGTGGATATATCACTATGCGCACTTCGATATGCGTAATGCGCGTGGCGTGCTATCGTCCAGAGTCTTCAAGTAGTAAGTGCCAATCAGGCTCCGCAACAAAGCAATATACCGCTGAGAGACTCGCTGGACGAGATGCACCGTCAAGCATCAGCCCGTAGCGAGAAGCTGTGTGGTCAAGCCAGGGCTAGGCATGCAAAGAAACAAGGAGTCAAGTGACCACTTTCGACGTGGGTGACTTTGTGCTCGTGGGTTCGGTCGTGCGGCACCCAAGCAAGCTCGCCCTGACGTGGCGTGGTCGCTCCAGAATTACGCGAGTTATCACCGATTTTGTGATGGCGACCGTACAGTTGGCGCCACCTTTTCACGAATCTGTGCACAATGCCTGCCGTCTCAAGATGTACTGCGAGGCGGCGAACGGCACGGCCGAAGACCTGCAAGAGCAAGCAGCCTACGGTGAAGGTGGTTTTCATGTGGAAGACCTCCTGGCTGCCCGTGCTGTCAACGGGCAGCATCAAATCCTGGTCAAGCGGCTCGGCCTCGAAGACGAAGAGGCATCATGGGAACCAGCCCTCAACCTGTAGGAAGACGTACCCGTAATGCTGCGCAAGTGGGTGTTGTCCCACGAACACGACGACGGCGTGGAAGCGATGCGGCAGGCATTGGAACTCACCCTTGGTCACCCATTGTAGGGGGAAGTGCTCTGGTCGAGTGCGCCCCGAGTCCAGCTCAACCT